CCCCCCAGATTCTTGCGAGTTGGTGAAGGCAGACAGGGAATGACGGTCAATGATACTTTAACACGGAGCCTGAGAAGTCAGTTAGCAAGTGTGAGTCCGACTAAGCAGGGGGATGAAGAGGGCGATTAGGGTTTTACAAAGCGGGCATGCTGAAGAGCCGTCATTTATTAGTCTTAGATATAGCTCATTAAAAAACATAAATAAATAAATAAATAAATAAATAAATAAATGCAAATGCAGAAGGGCGTTGATAAGAGAGTCTAGAGCTCCCAAGTCTGTCCTCTCACGCAGAAAAGAGGTTTTGCTCAAGTTTGGCCTGAGGCAGGTTGGAAACGGAGCGTTGGGCACGGACGCAGCCCCCCAGCGCGCCCCGCGCTCCAGGGCTGCGGTTGCCCACACCGAGCACTGCGCGCCGCAGGGGCTGAGTGCGGAGCCTGCGCTGGCCGGGCAGAGTGCGGGACACAGTCCCTCCCCGCGCCGCCATCCCCACACTCAGCGCCGAGCCTAGGGCCAGCCAGGCCACCGGGCACCTTGTCGTCCGCGCTCTCCGCGCCCAGGTGGCCTAGGCGTTGCCAGGAGCTGCGGAGAAGCCTCCAGGCACAGTCGCCTGTTGCTAGCCCTCCGGTTAAAGCGTCCTTGGCGGTGGCAGAGCCTTTCAAGCGTAAATGTCCCCTTTCCCAAGCCTGAGTTTCAGGCTAGAATATAGCAAAACGCACTTACCTCAACAACGTACGTCTGTGCTTCACTGGAGTAGACTAGGTTAGGTAGAAAAGATCTCACTGCACTGAAAGTGGCGTTTTTTGGTTTTGTTTTTAGGTGTTTTGGGCTTTTTCCCCCCCTAACCCCTCCTGCACCCTTGCGCAATAGCAACAGTCCTCCAAAGAGGATATTTGAATGGGTGAATTATGCGAAGCCCTCGTTTCTTCAAGTAAAGTCAGGGCTGCTGATGGCACTTGTCAGACAGGACGACCAGACTGGGAAGGAGACCAGGTAGAAACTAGTGACGGGTGAGGGGCGCCAAGTGGTGTGGACCACAGTCTCAGCCCTGCTCTGATGGGCTGCTGGTGGAAGCCAAGGGGGGAAAGCCCTTGAATCCTGAGACTGGGGGATGGGGTGACGCTGCAGCTGGAGTACTTTTATGTCTGGAAGCTAAAAGGGCTTTTGAATAAAAAAAAGCATTACTTAGGTCGTCGCGTCAGCCATCAATGGGGGCAGGAACAGTTCTTTCCGAGAAATTAAAAAACAAAAAACAGAGACGGAGAGAGCGAGAAAGGGGGAAAAAAAGAGAGAGATAAAAGGAAAATGAAGAACGAAAAGACGTAAGGGAAGTAAGAAAAGCTTAAACAATAGGTTCTCACCTCCATCCATCCCAGTAAAGAGAAATATTGTAGAATCCAGGAACTTGTTCTTAAGGGGGGCTGGGCGGAGGAGAGGGGGTCACAGAGAAAACCCTCAAACCTTAGTATGCACCAGAGATAACTAACACACGCAGGCTTGGCATTTAATTAATACACTGTCTTTGTCAATATGTGAAGTAAAAGCTAAGATTTAAATGTTCCTCAACATACCTATACTTAAAGGGGAAGTGATAATCATAACTATCAGTTAAGCCCATAAAAAATGTTCATAAAAGCCAAAAACACTGCCATATTAACATACTTATTAAAAATTGAGTCTGGGGGCTGAACAAGTGTGAAAGGTGAGGTAATTAAATTTTTCATATGAAGTCTGCCCCTGAATTTCAATTTATTAGAACGAAGATAATCAGTGCTTCCTTCTGATGGCTTTCTTCCTCTGAAATGAGTACTGTGTGTCCAATTAGCTGTTCACTAGCTAAATTCATAAAATCAGAAATATACTAAATATGATGCCTGTATTGAAATACAATGCCCAAAATAATATGTTCATGTGTGATTTGGGATACTGTGAGAAAAAAAAAAAATGGTGCACTTAAAACTCCCACTCTTCTTCTTACCATAGAGTGGCTATTAGCACTTAGTGTCCGGCTAAACCCATAAAAATACACTTAACAAAAGTCCTCCTTCAGTCATGTAATTGCTTGCAATGAACAAATGCTGACCTGAACAACCTTCTGAAGATCAGAGACTAGTGAACTTTCTCAGACCCTGAAATTTTCTTGAAGGTTTCTTTTAAGCTTACTCTTAGATAAACATATAAAATTTGACCTTTCAAATGGCACAAGAATGTGTGCCAAGAAGCATTAATGGGAGGGGGGAGGGGTGGTTAATGTTTCCTATAACCTGTAATATAAATGAGGACAGAAATAAATAATGTAAAAGCTGATGGGATAATTCATCACATGGGTTGTATCTTGGTAGCACAATTGCAACTAATATACTAATCAATTAACAGTCACATAGATGTTTGAGTTCTGAAAGTAACAAAAAATATTTTTTTAATGAGATATTGTCTCAACACAGCTCATTAAAAATAACACTAGCAATAAGTTTCTAATAAAATGTAAGGAGAATAACTTACCAGAGGACATTTCAGGAAGCAAGATGACTGTGAGAAAAAGATATCCAGGATTCAAACAGATATTCCATGATCTTCCAAATTAAGGTAGTGATGAGCTGCAGGGTGGTGGAACTTTGAAAAAATCAGCAGTTCCTGGTGGCATGTAACCAACTAAAAACCAGTTACACAGAAAGCCACGGAACCCCCAAGGAAAAGAAGCAACATGCGAAAGAGGTGCCTTTTATTTTGGTGGGTGGGGGGCTTATTTGTGAAGATCCTTGAAGACAAAGTGAAAATTTACTGACTGTAACATGCCCATACAGTGGGGAGAAATAGAAGGGGTGTAACCCCAGAGAACAGGAGGTGAGATACAGATAAATCTGCAAAGAGAAGTAAAAGGATGTGCTGAAGACAAGAGATAAAGAGAGAACTAGTGAGCAGGGCTGTAGTCATCCTGATAGATTCAGCAGCAGGAATGATTTAGGCTGCTGGGAAGGATCCAATGAGAATTCAAGAGGGCACTGCTTCGGAAATCCTGCTCTGATCTTCCCACTCTCAGTTCTTTAAGAGTTACCTGCGTTGGGCACATTATTATTAGGATTAATAGTTTTCCATCAGTGTATTTCACTAGGATTTCCCTTGAACTCTCTCACTCGCGGCAACTGAGGGAGGCGTAGTAAGGAATCCCAGCACAACCCCCCCCCCCCCCAAATAAGCCCCTGTGGTCACTTTAGGACGACCAAATCATCAGAGGTTTGCACTGGGGCGGGGGGGGGGGGGGCGGTAATCGAGGGGCTGAAGATGCGGAGGAGGCCGAGTGGCCGGGCGCTCTCGGGGGCGCTGTGCCGGAGGCTCGGGCGCGGGGGCCTGGAGCGGTTGTTAGCAGCTGCAGCGGCGGCAGCGGGAGCCCTCCCGGGTCCTGTTTTCTCGGAGAATTCTGCAGCCCGCGACTCAAGGCAATTCGGTTCCACCCGAAACCTCAGCTCCAAATGCCTTGTTTTAGAAGCTGGGGCTTTGGAGGTTCTGAGGACCGTTCCTGGGGAGGCGGGTGACAGTCTGTGAGGTTTTCGCGGCCCCTCTGGTTCCTGCACAGTTACCGAGGGAGAGAGTGCTAGAAATGGCTTTGCTGCCGAATGCATTATCTTGCCATTTTCGTATCCCGATACAGCACGCACGATCGCCTGATCGATCGGGTAAGATTAGCTTTGTTCCGTCTCTCTTTTCCTCTCCACGGTCCCATCCCTTCTACAAGTCCAAACCCCAACCCCAAATCGCAGTCTCTCGTCTCTCTCTCTCTCTCTCTCTCTCTCTCTCTCTCTCTCTCTCCCCCCGTCTCTTTCAAGTGAGGAACTTCCCTTTCCTCTTTGAAACCTACTTCCCCAGGGGATTGCTTGTGTGACTAGGGGCTGGTAACTCTCTTCGTAGATGATTTATATTTTGGCTGTGAAATGATTCCCCCCTCGCCACCCTCGGTCCCCTCCTTAGGGAAGGTCCCTCCCTCCCCATGGGTTCCCTGTCTGAGCTTGGATCTGGATGAAGAGCGCTGTGGGAGTCTTTTGCCCTCTGCTCTACCTTCCTCTGGACCCTGAAGCTTAAGCATTATCCGCCTCTCTCTCTTTTTTTCAGAAATAGGAGGGAAAGGTAGAGTGGAAATTGATTTCTTGCAGAGACTCAGGCGCCGAATGATAGAGGGAATAAACATTTGCCCTGGATAAAAAATGTTCTTGGTAAGTAATCTTATTTTCTGCGGTTGAAAAGGAAACACATTGCTTCTCACTGGCCCATCCCCCACTCCATTCATTTATTTGCTCTCTGTATGTAAATCACGAGCTGGGTCAGTGGAAATTTTCTTTTCCCTCTTCCTAGGAGAATAGCAGCGTGTAAGGGTGAATTTGAACTACGGGGCTTTTAAGGAGGCAACATGAATGCTTTAAGGCGCTTCAGTTCTTATATTCCAAACCCACACACAGGTAAAGCTGATTCCCGCTTGCTTGTTAGAAGAGTATTTAAATATCTCCTTTATTTCTTACTAACACTTTTCTTTCTCAAAATGAAGAAAACGGGTACTGTAGTAGCTCCGTGTGCATGGTTTTCGTATATTTTGGCCATGTTCTAAAATATGATATTCTTTCCACTCCAGAAATAAGAATGTGTATTCAGCTGAAGCTTAATAAGTAAGCTTTAAGCTAAAGGTAACTTAAAGCTCTCATACCCCTTACTAACCTGTACATCTTTGTTCCAACTCTTGTACCAGATACAAATTATTAGCATCCAAGATAGCTATTTGCATGTTGTGGTGATAGCTATAAACTCAGAAAGCCCTCTGGTTTTCATGAGTCTATAGCACCCCCAGCCTGCATTTGCTCATTATGAGAAGAGTGTAAAAGAGGGAGGAAGCCAAACACCTCTTGATTGTGCTTACATCACATGTCACTAAGTGTGCAGAATAATCCACCTTGCAAATTGTGTGAACTTGGTTTATCAAGAGTAAGCTGACTAGTGTGGATGTGAAAAACTAAAGGAGACTTGCTCTAAGAGAAATTATTTATTGCCATTTTGAGTTACAGATATTTTACTGGTACAATATCAGTATTATTTTTTTCTCCATTTTTGTCATACCTTACACTGTACACCCCTTATTCCCAAATTTTAATGATAAAGAATAAGCTCTTCCTGATACAAATAGGATGGTTTTAATTTCATCTAAAGTATCTGACATTAAAATTCCATTGATAAGAATAGACTTTATTTCAAGTCATCAATTTTCTAGAAATCTCTACTAGGAAATCCCAGAAGAAAGATAGCTAAGTGTCATATTACAACATAAAGGCAAACTGTGCATGTGCACAAGTATCTATAGTTGTTATTACTATCAAAAATTGTCCAGGGAAAAAATTTCATGTGTGTGTATAACTTTTCTTTTCTTTCTGTTCTTAGGCTGTGTTCCAGCCCTAATAAGGACCTAGAGCAGAAGTTTTTCTTCAGTGATCTAATTTTACCCAAAAGCTCATTTCTGTGTTATGTCTCTGTTTTACGCAGGCTGACAAATGTTGGTAGGGGGATGGATACCCCGAATTAAATTTGTTACAAACTCAACCTTAACAGTTGTGATGTATTAGACAGCATATTTTTCGTGTAAGATTTAATATGCTGCTAAACTTACTTACCTAAATTGTGATTCAAAGAAATACAATTGTTTTTTGAGGACCCAACTTGACTTAAGTTAGAAAGTATAATATTAAAATTTTTATTTTATATGAAAAATAAATGCAAGATTGATGTTTTTTTTTTAATTTTTTTTCAACGTTTATTTATTTTTGGGACAGAGAGAGACAGAGCATGAGCGGGGGAGGGGCAGAGAGAGAGGGAGACACAGAATCGGAAACAGGCTCCAGGCTCTGAGCCATCAGCCCAGAGCCTGACGCGGGGCTCGAACTCCCGGACCGTGAGATCGTGACCTGGCTGAAGTCGGACGCTTAACCGACTGCGCCACCCAGGCGCCCCAAGATTGATGTTCTTTTAAATATTTGGAGAATAAAAAGTACAGGATTAAAAAATATTAATTCTGTGACCCATGTTTCCTTAACTTTAACATAGTTAATAGCACTTAAAGTTTATTAAACTAGCTAAGTCTTTGAGCATTATACTAAATCATATGATTAAGTGTGATGAACCTCAAAATAGAGCCATAGGCTTTTACATCTGTTAGCTAGCTTTTACCTGGTTTGTACTTAGATCTGTCTCAAAAGTTATACATTATAAGTTTATACTCAGCATGTCTTTTCCAGGATCATCTCAATGCACATCTACAATGGGTATCTAAGCACATTTTATATTACTGGTAATGTTTTTATTTGCTATCCTGGCTCCTTCTTTTTAGTGGTATAGGTACCACGTGATATATTTGTTAACTATTAATCCACAAAAATGTCTAATCTAAAAGCAATATTCAAGGTATATTGTATTGGGGAAATTGTGAGTCAGTTTGCTTTGTCAATAAAAATGTCAATATGCTTCAGATTGTTTTAACCTTAAATCAAAATTATAACAAAAATGTAGAAGATAAGTAAATTCAAACTGTTCCTTGCATATGAAAGGGTCATATCACACACAGGTATGCATATATAATTTCCCTCATTAGAATATTTAAATTTCTTTAGTCTCTGTTGTATGTTTATTTTGGTTTTAGATCTTTCTCTTTGAAAGTGCCTAAAGTTTCTTAAATACCTAAGTGTGCAGGCATCTGCTTGCCTTACTCCATAAAATGAATGTGCTGCTAAATAAACTGAGCCAATATATTTGAATCTCAAAAAAAGTACAGCAGTGTTCCCCACTTATCCACAGGGGATACATTCTAAGACTCTCAGCAGATGCCTAAAACCATGGATGGTAGAGAACCCTAAATACACTATGTTTTTTCCTCCACATACACACCTATGATAAAGTTGAATTTATGTATTAGGCACAGTAAGAGTTGAACAATAATAAAATAGAACAATTACAAAAATATGGTGTAATAAAAGTTATGTGAACGTGTGTCTCTCACGTATCGTATTGTGATGTGTGTATTGTACTATACTCATCTTTTTTCTTCTTGTGATGATGTGAGATGATAAAATGCCTAGGTGGTGAGATGAAGTAGGGTGAATGACATAGGCACTGTGACATAGCGCTAGGCTACTGTTGACCTTCTGACTACTTGTCAGAAGTTTCCGGAAACTGAAGCTGCGGCCAGGTAACTGAAACCAGGGAGAGTGAAACCAGAGATAAGAGGGGACCACTGTATGTTGGAACTTGAAGGAACTTTAATGGCCATTGAGTCTAACTCCTTCATTATGACGAAGAAATTGAGAACCAGAGAGGTTAAGTGATTCGTGTAATCATTCACTAACCGGTAATCCAAGGAACTTTAAATGTAGTTTTCCTAACTTCTTAGGGAGTATTCATTGTAAATCCATTAAACTGTAACACTAGCTGTTAAAGCAGCTATTGTTTAAGATTGGGATAAGGAATAGATGAAAGAGAAGGTAGTACAAAGATGAATAAATTGTGTCCTTATTGGAGTTTATTTTGTTGACAACTAATACTCTCCATTGTAGAAATTTTTTATTTCCCTATCATGGTTTATATTCCCCAGTTCCCCCCACCCTCGCGCCACCCCATCCCTGCCCTCAGTGGTTGGGGAACATTTCTTGGTGTAATTTTACTTTCTCAGAAAAGATTCTCAGTGTTTTTGTACTTCACTAGGTTGTTCCCTAGACTATTACCAACCACCCCCTACACAACCTTAACGTGTAGATAATTCCAACACCCGCAATAGCACATTCCATCATGTCACCTGCAGTTCTACTTTTAAATTTCCCTACCGATATAAAAAATAGAAGTGCATCGAGAAGAAAGCCATCATCTCAAAATAAGAAGGTTAATTAAACATATCTGAAACACACACATACACACAGACACACACATGTACAATAAGAAATAAATGCAGAGACTAAGACAATACATTGTGATGGAAACATTATTATGCAAAAATAAATCCATGTTCCATTAACAAAGAGCTTTTTTTTTTTTTCAACGTTTATTTATTTTTGGCACAGAGAGAGACAGAGCATGAACGGGGGAGGGGCAGAGAGAGAGGGAGACACAGAATCGGAAACAGGCTCCAGGCTCAGCCATCAGCCCAGAGCCTGACGCGGGGCTCGAACTCACAGACCGTGAGATCGTGACCTGGCTGAAGTCGGACGCTTAACCGACTGCACCACCCAGGCGCCCCGACAAAGAGCTTTCTTAATATGAGAAAAGTTATAAAACTTCAGTGGCTTAGGAATATTCAGTTTTCTGGAGTGACTGAAGCCATTCTTCTTCATTCCTTCATAGACATCAATACTTGAGTAACATGCAAGTTACTTTTTTTGGAAATAACAAACCTAAAAGACAAATATCAACAACGAAATCCATTGACAGTTATCATTATTCAAAGGGATTATTGTTCTTAGATTAAATAAGAATAAAAGCAAATGTGAACATATTTTTAAATGTATACAATGTGCTCTTATTCACACTAATCTGATATATTGCAAAAGATGGAATACATATGAGAAAGAATATATATTGGTTATTTTACATTTTAAAGATCAAAAAAATTCTACTCTTATTTAAAACCTACCTGTTGTTGAATAAAAATTTCTAATTGGTAAAGAGAAATGTAAGTGGATTCATAGAATATTTTGAAGAACCTAGTATAGACCTACCTCTTCAAATAGGTTATCTCAATATCTGCTGTGCAAGTTGGTTACAAGCACTTCATGTACGCAATGACAGTCTCAAAGAGCTTCATTAATTTGTCCAAAGTCACAAACTAAGTAGAAGATTCAGAATTAGAAATCAGGTTTTATGACTCCGAAGTCTAGGTGGATTCCCGTTGCACTTTTCTATCACTTATAAATTACTGGGATACTAGAAGCATTCTGGAAGCATTTGTTAAATAGCATCTGTATTGCTGTATGTGTTTTTGTGTGACTAATAATGTCTTCACAGACATGTAATAGAATTCAGAGCCTAACCTATTTCAGAAAAAAGCTGCCTACTATCAGTTTCATGAAGGAGAAACCATGACTGTGTTTTCATATTCATGCTCACCCCTTTTGCTTTGAATCTGCACCAGTTAGTACAAGACCTTACATAGAGAAGGAACTCAATAACTGTTTATTTAATGGATGAAATTAAGTACTAAACTTAACATTCCATTTTTAATATTCCTACAAGGACTTACTGTATTTAATTTTTATCCAACATTTAGAAATGTTATTACTAAGTGGCAGCATTTTTCAAAATATTTTCAGAATATTTGACATATATTTGGCCTTAGTAAACCATTTTTAAAAAGATGACCCCTTCCTATTGCATGAGACTTTGTATTTTTATAAATACCTTATTATCCATCACACTAATTTATCCTTTCACCATGCTGTAAATTAAAGCATTTCATTTATTTGAGAATAAGGGAAATAAAGTATGAAGAAATTAAAGCACTATTATTGATTACTAAAAGAAACAATTGAGCTGTTTTTATCCACCATATTATATTTCCTAACTTGTTGGAAATAAGATATGTGTTAGTAAATTCTTCAACTGTCAACTTTTGCAAGTAAAATATATTTATAGAAGAGAGAAAAGTTTCTAATATTATGAGCTGAATCATAAAACTATCAGTTTATATAACATTTTGCTAATCAGACTTCTTAGAATTAAGATATTTGATATTCACAAAAATGATTGTTTCTAAATTATTTATAGTTCCAAAATCTATTCATGAGTACAATGACCAAAATATGTTCATTGGCGTAGTGGTCATATGGATTAATGCATTATCAACTGACATGAATAAACGTCACTATTTTAAAAGTTTTTTTAATGTTTACTCTTGAGAGAGAGAGCCCACATAGGCATGAGTGGGGGAGGGGCAGAGAGAGAGAGAGGAAGACTCAGAATCTGAAGCAGGCTCCAGGCTCTGAGCTGCCAGCACAGAGCCAACGTGGGGCTCAAACTCAAGAACTACAAGATTACTTCGCGACCTAAGCTGAAGTTGGATGTTTAACCGACTGAGCCACCCAGGTGCCCCAAACTTGCACAATTTTTGAAGTAACTTATAAAAGTAACAATTTTGAAAACATTCAAGATATGATAAGATACAGCTTCCTTACAATCCTTCCTTGTATCTGAATTTCAATGATTATTTGGTCTGGTAGAAAGAATAAAATTTCCCAAAACATCCACATTCTAATTCCCAGGATGTGTGACTGTGTTACCTTGCGTAATTTAAGGAGTTTTGTAAATTTCACAAGGGTAAGGACCTTGAAATATAGAAAGCAGCCTAGACGAGCTGTGTCTTCCTTATATAATCACAAACATCCTTATAAGAGAAAGGCAAAAGGATGGAGTCAGAAAAAGACATGTGATGACAGAAACAGATGGAAGGACGAGGGACCATTAGCCAAGGAATGCAGTTGAGACACCCTCTAGAAGCTGAAAAAGGACAGGAAACAGATGATACCCTAGAGCTTTCAGAAGAAATTAAGCCCTGCTAATTCATTTTAGACTTCTGACCTACAAAATCGTTGAGTTAATAAT